AAAATGGTGACTGTTTATCTTGCATTTTAAATCTTTGAAGCTATAATGCAGAGGAGATTTTACCAGATTCAAAAATGAGCATTTTTATATGCATGAGAATATTAAAATTGTGGGTTGTTTCATTTAACCAAAACGAAAAAATACAAATGCAAACTATGCATCAACTGCAGACCCTATAATCTAACTGCCAAAAAGGCTAAGTCGGTCAGTTAACTGAAACTGAAATACACTGTACTCATCCCGGTTCTGTAACAACCAATCAAATTACAGGAATTCATAGAAGGATTAAAAACCCTCCAACACAATTTCAGCTCAAGTTCTAAAAAAAAAAAAGAAACAAGGAACAAGACCATCAGGTATGGTAAACATTAAAGACCCATTTATTTCAAGACTTTTTACCTTGTTTTCATTTATTTCAATAACCCACACAAACCTGCATAACTGGTAGCCGTTTCTGTGTTATGAAACAAACTACAAAAGTTGCTATTGAATTTGTGTACCTACAGGCCTACCGACTCTGAAATTTAAGCTCAAAGCGATAAAGTATATCGGTAATTCCAGAAATCAGAGGTCCCAAAATGTGACACTTTTGTGTCCCTGTTACATCTGACCTTTTTTATTTGACATGGAAATATCACCGGAAATGATTTTAACCTATTGCTATTTGTTTGCCAGGTAATTTGCATGAATCACACTTGGAAATTAGATAATGTGTTTTGAACTTACAAAAAATCACAAGTGAGATGTGACAGGGACACACAAAAAAGTGGACCCCTAATTTCTGGAATTACCCATATATGTGTTGGGTCCTTCCTCACAAAACCTTCACATCCAGCAGCTGGGGTTAATAACATAATTGATAACTTACAGACTTCCGACCACAAACCATTTAAAAATTAGTCTCAAGAAAATTCTAGATCTTGTTACTGATATTGCAATTGAAAACATAAGAGGCAGTTTTACAAAATCAAACTTGCAATTTTCAAGTCGATATAAAAATTTGTGTTAACCCTAGTCTGTGAACAAACTTTTGAGTCAGGTACTGCGTATACCTTGGTGCTTGCTGGAGCAAGAATGTGGTCATTGGTATGAGTTAAGTTATCACAAGCCATAGGCTGAATCTGAATCACTTGGCTATGGCTGAAAAAAGCATGCTTTTCTATGGCAGCCTCTCGACAGTACCTGTGGCAATTTCCTACACACCTGTATGTGGTTGCCAGCCACAGCTAAGTTTAATGGACACGGCCATATCTACCAGTATCCAGAAGTGTACAGAAATCACATTTCTGAGGTTTCTTCAACACCTACCACACCTTTCTACAGTGCCCGAAACCGTTAATTAATCCTGTAATGAAACTATATAGAAAAAGTAAAACAAATCCCATAAGTGAAATAATAAGTACATGCATAAAGACATTTCACCAGTAGTGGCTATACGCTGCATCATTTGTAACTAGAAACTAAATTTATATAACGAATTTCGCCCTTACTTAACGTATATATTAATAAACACTGTATGCTCAGTGCTTGTCCGAAAGCTTGCGAAAAAAGCGAGTAAGCTTGTGACTTTTTTCGCAAGCTTTCGGACAAGCACTGAGCATACAGTGTTTATTAATATATACGTTGGGTAAGGGCAAAACCCGTTATATAAATTAACATCTCCCAAACGAAAAATACATCTTGAAAAAAGAAACTGAATGTCTAAGTGAATACAAAAGGACAACAAAATTTGATTTCTCCAGACAGAGCTTCAATGACAAGTACAAGTTACTGAACAATTAACTATTGTATGTCTTGCGTAGCTTCATTTTCACCTCATTTGATAATGAAGTATCATTTTCACAGTTACAAGTCATATATGCAATTAATGTGAAAACAGGTAGCTGCAATACTGGCAACTGATTATAAACTAAAAGAGGAAGTCATTTTAAGTAAAACTGAACCGAAAATCTTTTCAAATATTGCATACAAAAGAAGAAACCGTTCCTCCTATATATAGCACCAGTAACTAATCAGTGTGTGACTGGATTCTTCAAAACGTGTCTCCTTCACATTTGTCAATGGTAAAAAGTGATATTTTAAACAGCTTTTTACACCTCAATCTCTTAATCCTTAGAAAACAGAAAAGAAACCCCGCAGTTCCAACATATCAATCAGGAAAAACATTGACTGACGTTAAACTTGCTTCAGGCACCAATTTTGTCAAACCCAGTCACAAATCAGAAATTTGTTTTGTCTCTCAAGACCCAAACTAAAAATAATTCACTAATACGAATACATTTTAGCAATTTACATTTCAAAACAAAACAAGTTTACATTTCAAAGAAAAACCAACTTATAAATACTGTACATTCAAATTTCACTCGGTTTACACCATATACACATGGACCCCCAGAAAGTTTTTTGACATGAATACACTGCAGAACGATGTTGAATCTTTCCAAAACTTGCACAATCACCCTTTAGGAAGTAACAAAGAAGAACTTAAGAATAAGTTGGAAATAATAAAGACTGATTTGCAAAAACATGTACATTCAATCTGTCTGAAGACTGCCATTAAAGTCAATAAGTTGTGCGTGTGCGACAGTGCCATGTTAAATGTGCTGGCAAATTGAGGGTTGTTAAATATCACTAGAAATGGGGTACATTAATAAATGTGTTGAGCATATAACTCCAACTACGTGTCCAACAAAACCTGCCCAGATCGCTCATCTGATTTTGATTGATTGGAGACAGCGGGTATCTAATGATGTGCCCTAAATATAAAGGTATGCTGGCAGATTGGGGGCAGTAAAGATCAATGAATGTGAACTTCATTAACTAACCCAAATCTGTCCAAATCTCACACTCGATTTTGATACACGTAGATCAAGACATGCAGACCTCCAGTAATGTGCCCCATACACATGTATGCACCTACTAACAGCTGGGGCAGCTGCAGATCACTGAATGTGAAACTTTACAGTAACAAATTCTACAAAAGTGATGAATTTGGTGGCATAGCGGTGGCAGAGCTGGAGGTTCCTAGCAAGGACTAATGGATGAGATCATATATCAGCCCCTAAAATATAACATGCACTCATTATTCCAACACTTTTCCAAATACAATTACAACCACTGAACAAGGCATATTCTAGCTTTTTGTCACATACTTCTTGAATATATTATTTTGGAAGATAAGAAAAGTATAAAAGAGATGCATAACACATATGGTTGCATAATGCTTGTACAGTAGTAAATGTATTCAAAGCCATGGAAAAAATTCACACAGAGAAAATGTTGAGAAACTCCTAAACAGAAGATATTAATGCATAGTCATTTACGTCAGAAACTGCCAAAAGGAAAATTCATACTGTGAGAATATGAACATCACAAAAAAATTCAGTTCAACTATTAAGGCTCACTGACAATTTCACAAACGAATTATTTTCAAATATTGTGTGTTGAGAGATGTCATGTAACTTTCTCATCTTAATTTCTGTCCATAACACCGAGTCTAGGTCCAAGCACAGGTTCAGCTATAAACATGGGCGAAAGGATGTATACACCAATTACCTCAGTCTTGATTTTCACATTTGTTACTATTACAATAGTTAAAATTGCCATTTTCTGCAAATCATTTTATTAGAATCATACTGCCTTCAGCAGGCCCAATTAAGGCGCACACCATCTTAGATACCAAAAAACCACACGTACATCGTATATGTATATATACACACACATATCAATATTCATTTATTTATTACTGCATTTTTGTGCTCAATTTTTACAAATTTTATGCTGAGATACCACAGTGTGGAAATTATTTTATGGAAGTTCTGGAAGTAAAATATGAATATTAACCCTAACAGTCCTGAATCCTCCAATTTTAAGATGATTTTGCACGCACCCTCGGGAGTTAGGGTTAATTCCTTGCAAAAGATGGAGAGGCGATAAAGATCTCCCACTGTAGCTTTGTCACTACTCACTCTGCCAATATGAGGCTGACGTTTGCCAGGAAAGCGTTGTCAAAAATTAGCCCCCCAAAAAAACCTGTTGTGCGTTCAGTAGGAGTCCTTGTTCTATGGGAGTTAACAGCAATGCTATACAGTGTATATGCATTTGCTGAGGGCAACAGAATTGTGCTTAACTAAACTGTCATTTGAGCATCCACTGTGACTGGAATGGGCTCTGTCACCTGCATATAAGACTAGAGACAGGCTGGTGACAAGTTGTTCAACTGGGCTCATGGACGTGTCAGGCGCACAAGTGAGGAGTGCTGAAGACCCTACATTCAAATGGCGAGTCCTGCATCAAGCGCACATAAACCCAGTGCACCCACACAAGTTCCTACACAAGGGATATCACTGCTATGCAAATACATGCCATCTCTTGTTGCTAAACAGAGCAGCTACGTGCTTAGCATATTTTTAACGCAGCTTCTCTGACTTGATGCCAGCACACGAGGTTACTGCAAACCGGTGGCGTAGCTAGGATTTTACTAGTGGGGAGGCTAAAGGGGGCCCAGCATCTTATGGGGGGCACCGGCTTTCAGTGGTGTAGTATTTAAGTGCAAGCTTTTGTAAGCCTAGTTCAATACCCATTCATCCATTTTTTTTGTGGGGGGGGACACCTGGAGAGCAACAGGAATGGGGGAGGGGCACATGCCCCCCCCAACACCACTGCTGAAAACTGGCTCACCCAGTATCAATAATTCAGTTGATTTAACCATGCTATTTATTTTGTCTGGTTATGTCTTGGTATAGTTTACTTTGCCTAGAACTCGGTCACAAGGATGAAAACTCTCTCCATTCTGAAGCTGGCTATACATGTACATCCCTGCATATTTTATTCACATCACACAAACACCATCTTGGGCGCGATTTCGTCTGTGCTGTATTCGAGTCCATCACAAGTCCCTGTAAGTCCATCATTCAGTCTTGAGCCGATTCACAAGCTATTCGAATGAGCTGTGACAACAGCATTCTTTTGTCATTGTTCACTAAGTTACTTATGACTGGCCTTGTGAAGGGACTTGTGACTGGCCTTGTGAAGGGACTTGTGACTGGACTTGTTAAGGGATTTGTGAAAGGACTTGACTCAAACACTGGATTTCATCTCTTAGAAACTTCTTGCACACAGCTGCTTAATAACATCAACAATCAGGCAGGATGGAAACTGCGTGTACATCTACATTGGAGATGTCGGGAACTTTCACTGTTAAATTTAATCAGATGGCTCAGCATAGCTTGCATACATGTACATGTATTTATTTACAATGGGATGACATGACATTCATGACCTAGAGTAAATACATACTTTTTCTAATACTTTTACCTTAAATGGGGCAGAAATTCTCTCTCCCACACACTGCCACGATAGAGCAAAATACTCGCTGACTACTACGGTTTGGAATGTGGGATTTTACCACCCAATGCGAGAATAAAAAAAAGGACATTTTCACACATGGTGAGCACCTCACATGGTGACCACCTGACACTTCTCTATAGTGACCTTTAAAGGGACTGTATTCTCACGTGTTGGAGACAAATGCATCAACTACACAGAATTCATGTGCAGTGTTCAGAAGCAGTGTTAGTGACGTCCACTTTTCTGTTGGCATGACATTTTGAGGTTGAGTTGGCTAAACTCAACTTGCCCTATCAAGAAACTTACAGCTAGAGCTCCTTTGTATTTCCAACTGATCAGACTAAAAGGGAATTTCCACTGATGAACTTACGCCACTGCACCAATTCTTGAGAGATGAGGTTAATGGCTATCACTACCAGTAGGTACTCCTTATCAAGGGTCCGTGTCTAGACCATTTAACACTGGCACCACCAGAATATCCATAAACTCAGCATGCTATACGTCTGCAATATCGGCATCATCGATGTGGGTCACTGGTCCAACAGTGGTGATGGTGGTGGACGCGTTGCTGAGTAGTGTGGTGGTGGTGGTCTCAGGAGGGGGAGGGATTGGGGGTGCGATGATCGGCTCGGGAGGCAGGTGCGTTGTGGAAGCGATGCGCTGCATCTCTGGCGAGAGATGGTTCTGGATGCTCTGCAGGTAGCTCTGAGATGAGACAAGGAAAACAGAAATAGTTACATACTAGACAGGAGTTTAGCCAAACTATTATCTTCTCAATGGATTCAGAACTCGCTAAACAGACGCTAAACGTACATGTGTAGCAGTAGGTATAGTGAACAACGTACCTGTACAGTATTTTTCTGAACAGGGCCATCAAGGTATCAGAGTCGGGCAGTTAAAACTGCAAATAATGGGAGATGCACTCTTGGCCAACAGATCTAAAACCTAATGATGTAATGCAGAGGTGCGCTGTAGGTGAAAAGACAGTGCGCGCTCATGCTAAAGCATCAGGCCCACGAAAAACTGTCAAAAAGAACATGACACTGAGAAGGCCTACCGGTATAGTTTCCAAAATGGTTTGTTTTAACTGCTGTGCACCACTGTGCATATCAAGCACACAACGAATGCCAGAGCTGCATTCTGTCAGTCTTTTACATTCTGTGCAATAGGCTGTCACTCTCTCACATTCTGTGCAA